AGCCCAGGAGTTGGAGGTTGCTGTGAGCTGTGATGCCATGGCACTCTACCCAGGGGGACAGCTTGAGGCTCTGTCTCAAAAAAAAAAAAAAAAAACTTAATGGTATATATCCTCTATAAAAACACAATTTCAGGGAACTGAAAAAGTTGACCTTTAGCCGGGTGTGGTGGCTCACACCTATAATCCTAGCAGTCTGGGAGGCAGAGGCAGGTGGACTGCCTAAGCTCACAGGTTTGAGACCAGCCTGAGCAAGAGCAAGACCCTGTCTTTAAAAATAGCCAGGTGTGGGCGGCACCTGTGGTTCAGTGGGTAGGGCACTGGCCCCATATACCGAGGGTGGCGGGCTCGAACCCAGCCCCGGCCAAATTGCAACAAAAAAATAGCCAGGCGTTGTGGTGAGTGCCCGTAGTCTCAGCTACTTGGGAGGCTGAGGCAAGAGAATCACCTAAGCCCAGGAGTTGGAGGTTGCTGTGACCTGTGATGCCATGGCACCCTACTGAGGGCAATAAAGTGAGACTCTGTCTCTTAAAAAAAAAAAAAAAGCCAGCTATTATGGCAGGTGCCTATAGTCCCAGCTACTCAGAAGGCTGAGGCAGGAGGACTGCTTGAGCCCAAGAGTTTGAGGTTGCTGTGAGCTATGATGCCATGGTGCTGTACTGATTTTGGCCAAGTGAGACTCTAACACATACACACACAAAAGTTGACCTTTAATGTGTTAATAAATTCTACAATTCAGTGAACCCAAGAATTTTAACCTATGGTCACTTTTGCCTTTTAATGTCTAGAATCTAGACTTATTCACTAGGTAAAATATGTGTTTGGCAACGTGACATTAGAGCAAGGCCTTTGTCCAGATCCTGTGGCATGAATGCAGTTTGCTTCTTCTCACTCTGTTCCAAGACTGATTTAGAATGACCTTTATGTTTTTGTCGAAGACATCAGAGTACCATGATATCATGTATCCTGCTTGGACATTTTGGGAAGGGGGCCCTGCTGTTTGGCCAATTTATCCTACAGGTCTCGGACGATGGGATCTTTTCAGAGAAGATCTGGTAAGGTAGGTACTTTAAAGAGGTTTTATGTTTTCCTCTTTGTGCGTTTTCTTGAAATTATCAGTAGAACATAACCAATTATTTAAAATGACTGACTTTCAAGTTAAAAACATAATAACTAGTAAAAGTCATTTTTTATGTGTATAAAAATATTTACATATCTAAATATTTACATATCTAAAGAGGGGCAGAAGAATCTATTCTGAACCATCAACAGTGCCTGTTGCGGAGGGGGTTATAGAACCTTTTGCTTTCTTTAAATTTTCCTGTACTTTTAACATTTACAGTGTTCTGTTTATTATAGAAAAAAAGAGTGAATTACTTTTGTAATAAGAAAAAGTGAATGACCATGTTGCGAGGGAGGATAGAAAATACTTGGAAGAATATCAGTGTGTTTGATAATTGAGGGCTGAATACTTCAGGTGTGTATGAGGGGCATAAATGTCTCAGCTGTCTCAAGTACAGCTTATTCCAGATGCTCTCTGAGAGCTCTCTGAGACATGCCTTGGCCTGCTGACTGCATACTACTATCATTTCAGAATTTAGATTGTGTAGATGATTCAAACTGTAGGTATTTCTTACTGAACTACATTTTACATTAATGATTCAAACACGTTTGGTGCTCACTTAGGGAACTTCTAGAAACAGTCTATATAGGTCTTTTCTCAGGTATAAGAAAAACTGCAATTAATTCAACCCGATTTCACAAAGAGCTATCATCTCTACTAATTGTGACTGAGGATTCAAAGGGGATTTAAAGAAGCATCCCTTCCTGAAGAAATATAATCTTAGTCCTCAGTGAAGATTAGAGCCCATTGGTTAAAAACAAGAAAACAAGTCTCTCCTACAGCAGGTATAATTTGGAAATTAAAAACAAACAACAAGTTAGTTTCATACTTCACAGAACTGGAACTGGAAATTATTTTTTATTAAGGGAATAAATGCTTAGTGAGGTTAAGGGACTTGGTCAAGGTTAGAGGCAAACCTGGGCCTGAAGTCCAGATTTCCAAGTATATTACCCTCTCTACAGTTAATATTATCTGTGTTCTCCTAACATTTTCCAAGTATATTACCCTCTCTACAGTTAATATTATCTGTGGTCTTCTAACATTGAAACCATCATTTCTTGCTTAGTTTTTGGTTTTGAACATGATTTTGGTGGTGGAAAGGGGAGGTTTGTCTTTAACCTTTTTTTCTCTAAGTTATTCTTGTTTTTTGCCCTTGATTTTCTAATCTTTTTTCCCCCTAGATCAGGTGTCCTCAAACTACGGCCTGCTGAGGACAGTTACCTGGCCCACTGGATGTTTTTGCTGCTGCTGCCTGTCCTGCTTAGCAGCCGACTCGTCCCGGGGCCTGCAGTCCGGCCCTCCAATGGTCTGAGGGACAGTGAACTGGCCCCCTGTTTAAATAAAGTTTGAGGACTCCTGCCCTAGATACTTTCAAATACCCTTTTCACATTCTTCTTTCTTTTTATAGCTCTTTTACAACCTGCCATATGGCTACTTTTTTTTTTTTTTTTGAGAGTCTCACTTTGTCACCCTGGGTAAAGTGCCATGACATCTTAGCTCACAGCAACCTTAAATTCTTGAGCTCAAGTGATTCTCTTGCCTCAGCCTCCCAAGTAGCTAGGACTATAGGTGCCCACCACAATGCCTGGCTATTTTTAGAAATGAGATCTTTCTCTGGCTCAGGCTGGTCTCAAACTCCTGACTTTGGGTTGACAGTGGGTCTTGCTCATGCTCAGGTTGGTCTCAAACTCATGAGCTCAAGCAATCCACCTGCCTTGGCCTCCCAGAGTGCCAGGATTATAGGCATGAGCCACCATGCCCAGCCAGCTACTTTGTTTTCAAAATCTTTAAAGACATTTTTACTAATTATGAAACCTGTATGTACTCATAAAAATTTACAGAAAACATACAACCCAGGGAACTTTTCCCCTTCACTTATTAACGTTTCTAAGTAATTTTTCCACATCTGTATATCAGAATTGACCTTGTTATTTTAACAGTTGCATAGTATTCCACTATATGGATAATTTCATTATTTCCTTTGATGGACATCTAGGCTACATATGTAATATGTATAAAATTTATTTTTTCTAGATTACATATTATATAGCATTTCCCCTCTGTAGTACAGAACACAGTCCAGGATCACAGATTGCATTTAGTTGTCATGTCTCTTTGGTTTCTTTTAATCAAGAACGGCTCTTCTGTCTTTCTCTTTTATGATATTAACTTTTTTTTTTTAAATAACATTCCTTAGTTTTGCTTTGTCTATTTCCTCATAGATTCAGTTTATGTACTGCAGGCCCAATTACTTACATAGTGATTTTGTGCCCATCCGCCCCACATTAATGGTGTTCTCTAGTTCCTCCTCTGTGTAGTTTTTTTTATTTTCTCTCTTATAAACTGATAGCCATCTTTGGGGAGATAGAGTGTGTGTTAAAATCTGATCTTACGTGAACATTTTTTCCTTTTGATACCTTCCCCTTTTGTTCAACTGAGTTTATTCACAGTTAGAGAACTGGAAGTTCTTTTTTTTTTTTGGCCCTCCATTTGGAATCTCTAGTGATGTGAATTCATTTGTTGCCTTAAAGCTTTATAACCTGCTTGTGTATCGATCTGCATTTATCTATCTGCCTGCCATTTTTCTGTCTTATTTTTTATAATCTTTTGGGAGTTTGTCCTCATTTACTCTGTAGAATAATTCAGTGATCTTTGTAGATTTGAAGGTTTCATTTTTTACTGTCAGAGAAGGTTTTAGAAGGAGGCAGTATCAGGCTGTGGTAGTGGCCACTATCAGCATATGCCTGGAGAAAAAGTCCTAACATAGGTCTCTTGAGGAGTGAGTAGGCGGGAGGGAGAATGAAGCAGAGAGAAAACAGTTCAAGTCTGTGTATGTTGAACACAGTTTTCCTGGGTTCCAAGGAAATGAAGAGAAGCGATGTTGAGTATAACCTGATAATATATTTTTTTAGGTAGTTTGACGATATATATTAAAATTGAAAATGTATACTGTATATCCTTTGATCCAGCCATTCTACGTCTAGAACGTATCCTGAGATTTTAGATAATTATGCAAAGATATACGTACAAGGATGTTCTCCACTGTGTTTTTCTTAGAGCAGAAAGTTGGAAAGTACCTAAAGGTCCATCAGTAAGGGATGAAATGAATTACGACACGACTATAAAATGAAGTACTGTGAGAAAATGGCAAAGCAAGGTAGAATGGGGTTTAAAAACTGGAATCTAGGTTGAAATCATGGCTCTGCGTGATTCTGGTCAAGTTGCTTACCTCTCACAGACCTCATCTGTAAAAGGAGTAATAAAACCTATCACATGAGGTTGTGAAAATGATTTGAAATATATAAAGCATTTAGAACGGAACAGTATCTGGAACATAGTAAGGTGCTAATAGGTATTGGCTATTAGTATTGTTTGTACTAAGTTTCCTAAGAAGAATGTCACCTAACAGTATGTTCTGACTTCCTGTTAAATAGAGTGAGGTTTCTCAGTCTTGGTACTACTGACGTGTTGGGCTGGATAATTCTTTGTTGTGGAGGCTGTTCTGTTTAGCAGCATCTCTGGCCTCTATCCATTAAACACCAGTCGCAATTCCCCAGTAGTAACAATCCAAATGTCCCCGGATATGACCAAATGTCACCTGGGTTAAGGGGAAGGGCAAAATTACCCCCAGATGAAAGCCACTAATATGGAAAAATGATTGGAAGGAATTTCCCACTAAAATCTTACATTGTTACCGGATAGGGAGATTCCAGATGATTTTTTGCTTTTATCTTTATACTCTTCCATTAGAATTTTCTATAATGAGCAAGTAACATTTTTTTCACCACAAACAAACCCCTCCAGATCCAGTGCCATAGTGTTTATATTTTGGTAGGAGGAAGTAGAGGGGTGAAACAGATAATTCTAGCCTTGGACTGGAGAATCGGGTGAAGGTGATCCAGCAAGAAGGGCCAGATGAGAGAATGAATGAGCCAGGGCAGAAACTGATGGCCTGGAGAACACTGAGCAATGCTCTCAACTGGGTGAAAATGAGTACATGCACTCTATGTATCTGAAAAGGACATATACTTTAAAAAGTTTATATCCTAAGTTTCTCCATTACTGTAATACAGCCCATCAATCCCTCATTAACTCCAGTTCAGCCTTCCCCTCCTTTTTCAGAAGAAGACGCTGCGCAGACTTCTGTGCAGGGAGGGTTCCTACGAAGAAAGTTAAGAATGATGCATCTGTGAGATAGCAGTTTCAGCAAGGAAGGCTGGTCATGGTAATGTGTACTGAGACCTGAGTTTTAAGGATATGTAATCTTTACAGAACACTTAGTACAGTTTTAAGAATTCTAGGATACTTGGCAAGTATCAGACTAACTCTGATGATACCTCCTACCCATCAGAAACATGAAATCAGAGAGTAATTGCCCTTTCATTCAATTTCTGGTATTTTTGCAGTTGTCTTCATATACTAACTTTATCATTAGTACTCTACTTAAAGTGGAGAGGAAAGCCTCATTGTGCCCAATTAAACAGCCCTAAACATGGCATTCAGAGTTTGGGGGGCTTTTCTTCCAATGCTCTTAACTTACATTAATGGGGAGATAGATGTAACTGTCTAGCACCTGCAGGGCTAATGAAATGATAACAGTAGGGAATATAGTATTTTTCAGGGCTTTTTCCTTTAAGTAGCTTTGATCAGACTTATTTGAAAATATAAAGTTCTGAACTAATCTTCAGAAATGGTTAAAACTCATCCTTATATAACTGAGAAAACAAACTAATCAAAAATCTGTATTTTTAGGTCAGCAGCACAGTGGCCATGGAAAAAGAAAAATTCTACAGCATATTTCCGAGGATCAAGGTACGTATATTTTCTGACATTTTACAAAGATATTCTTCTAAGTAATATACAAATAAGTGATCTTGAGGTTGTGATGAACTCTGTAGCTCAGAGAAAGCTAAGATAGCTAAGAAATAAATGTGGAATCCCAATTTCAGACTATTCAGATTATTTGACCAACTTGCTCTTAATTGAATGGAAATTCAAAGAATTAAAGGTCATCCATCTAGTCGTCTGGTCATTCAATAGATATTTTTTTTTTTTTTTTTT